TTAGTCATTAGAGCATTCGCCTTGCAAGCGGGAGGATCTGGGTTTGATTCCCGGAAAGGGCGAAATGTTGGGAAAGTTTCCTTACTCCACACACCTCTGTTTACCAAGCAGTAAGTGGGAACCCAGTTGTTAGTTGATTGGCGCATCACTTTTCCGGGGTTTGACCACTCTAAGCCAGTCAGCCTCACTAAGCCAGTCAGGAACCTGGATGTCTTGTTTGACCCCAAACTGTCCTTTCTCACCCACATCCATGCCATGACTGGCACTGCCTACCACCATCTCCACAACATTGCCAGACTCCGCCACTGCCTCACCCCTCAGGTTGCCGAAACTCTTACCCATACATTCATCACATCAAGGCTCGATTATGGAAATACCCTCATTGGCCTTCCCAACTCTTCCCTTCACAAGCTGCAGATCATCCAAAACTCTGCAGCTCGTGTACTCTCATGCACCAGGCTCCGTGACCCCATCACTCTCACCCTCGCCCGACTCCATTGGCTCACCATCCCTAGGAGAATTGAATTCAAGATCCTCATCCTTACTTTCAAGGCTATCCACGGCCTTGCCCCCTCCTACCTCTCTGACCTGCCCGCTCCCTCCATTCAGTGGGTTCCGGCCTGCTCCATGTCACCCGCCCAACCCACCATACCATTGATCGCTGAGGCTTCAGCCTTTCTGACTCTTCACTCTGGAACTCCAACCCACAGTCCCTTTGCCTCGCTTCCTCTCTTGCCTCCTTCAAGGCTGGTCTCAAAAGCCTCCTCTTCGATCGAGCCTCCGGTCGCCTTCCCACCTCTCTGCCTTCCCTCACCCCTACCCCACCCCTCCTCTATACTCGGGTTCTGACCCCTGAATGTCCTGCAGCTTGGGACGTCCTTCCGACTTGAAAGGCGCTCTATAAAGGTAACTTTGTTGTTGTTATCTATCCTCCTCCACTGCCTCTCCTCTCACCTCAACCTTAATGGTTCTATCCTTGAATTGTTCAGATCCTATCTCTCACGCCATCTCCATTTCATCTCCACAAATGGCTTCTCCTCCAGCCCAAGCACTGTCCCGTACGACATTCCTCAGGGCTCTGTCCATGTTCCCCTCCTCCTCAATATCTATATGCTCCCTCTTGGTGACATCATCTGCAGACATGGGGTCAACTTCCACATGTATGCGCATGACAGCCACTCTATCTCTACCCTGACTCCAGGACCACTGCTGTCATGACAGAATATTTGTCAGTCATCAAGTCCTGGATGAGAGCTAACTTTCCATAGATGAATGCCAACAAGACCGAGGCCCTCCTGATTGACTCCCGTCAGCGCCTCCTCATCTCAGGCACTGACAGCATCACCATCCACGGTTGCACACTCCACCTTGCTAAGCCAGTCCGGAACCTTGAGGTCTTGTTTGATCCTCAACTGTCCTTTCTACCCCACATCTGCGCCATGATCTGCTCTGCCTTCCCCCACCTCCGCAACATCACAGGGCTCCGCCACTGTCTTATATTGCAGGCTGCTGAGACCCTCATTCATGCTTTCATTACATCTAGTCTCAACTATGGAAACTCCCTTCACACAAGAGGATACAGTTCAAGATCCTGGTCCTCACCTTCAAAGTCCCCCATGGCCTTGCTCCCCCCTCCCTCTGCAATCTTCTAACCCCCTACCAACCTATCAGCTCCCTCCGCTTGCTTCCGTCCCCCGCCTCGCCGGGCCCAACTAAGTGGGTGGGCCTTCTGGCACTCAGCACCCACTCTCTGGAACTCCATCCCTCCCTTGCCTCCTTCAAGACTAGTCTCAAGATCTTCCTCTTCGACCGTGCCTTTGGTCACCCTCCTTCCACCCTGACCGATCCCCAGCTCAAGTCCCGAAACACTAATTGTCAGCGTCTTGGGACGTTCTCCCAACGTGAAAGGCACTATATCAAATGCAAGTATTATTATTATTAGAACAACTTGCACCTTTCCACAGATCCACTAATAACTGTGGCACAGCTGGAGAAATCATGCAGTTTCTATTCCTGATTGCTTCATTTCATGCCACTATTACTTTTATATGCCTTGTTTGTGACTGATTCGATGGCTGGAACAGAGTTCTGTGAAATGCAGAAATCTGTGGAAAGATGCAAGTTAGCAGTTTGATACTCATTACAAGAAAAACAAGTACAATTTTACATTTATATAGTGTCTTTCATGTCAGGATGTCCCAAGGCACTGATTAGTCCATATTTTGCACCTCAGCTGGGTGGGGGTTGAGGGAAGAGGGGGGAAAGATGGCTTAAAGTTCAGTCAGAGGAAGGTCTCGAGGAAAACATTTAAGGCTACAACAACTTGCACTTATATAGTGGCCTCCACACAGGATAGCGTCTCATAGAGCATTTAACGGAAGGGTCAAGTCAAAGGGACTACAGGGGGAATACCAAAGTGGGAGCAGATATGCTGAACATCTGACTGCTGATGGTGGGGTGGAGGACATAAAGTAGGCCAGTGCTTGCTGAGCGGAGGAAGCAGCTATAGGCTGGTAGGGTTTGATGGGGTCACAGGGTTGGTCAAGAACACGGAGGATCTTGAACTTGATCCGCTGGGGGATGGGGAGCCTGTGGAGCTGGGCGAAGATGGGGGTAAAAGCCTCAGAGATGATACCGAAAATTACTTCTCTTCCAGGCTCACTGATGTTCTGTCAGCTTGTTCAAAAAAAATGAACTTGTTTATCAGACATCAAGTCCTGGATGAGAACCAACTTTCTGCAGCTGAATGTTAATAATAATCCCTGCATTTGATATAGCACCTCATCACATCTTCGAGACTTCTCAAAACACTTCAGAGAATATACTGCAAAGTAAATTGACTGAATATTTTGCAGGCAAAACACAGCAGCCAATTGTGCACAGCAGTGCCCCACAAAGAGTCGTGGATTGAATTGACCAATTTATTATTATTTATCTTTCAAGGAATTATTACTCTCAGAAAAACAATCCGCCAATTAACTAACAACTTACTTACTATTAGGTAAACAGAGGCAGGTGGAGAAAGGAAACTTGCCCAACATTTCGCCCTGCCAGGAATCGAACCCAGGTCTCTTGCTTGTGAGGCAAGTAATCTAACCACCGAGCTACAGAACTTCTTGTTGATGATATGACTTAAGAATATTGAACAACTAAAGCCTATTTAATTAAGTATAATTCTTGCCATGAGATCTCAATTATCCAGCTGCCAGAGTTCTCCTAAAAGACAGTTATGGATTGAGTGACCAAACTATTATTTTTTAAGGGATTACCCTCGAAAAAGCGATCCGCCAATTGACTAACAACTGGGTTCCTACTTACTGATAGGTAAACAGAGGCGTGTGGAATAAATAAACTCGTCCCAAGATTTTGCCCTGCTGGGAATCAATCGAACCCAAGTCTTCTTGGCTGCAAGGTGTGTTTTCTAACCACTGAGCTACAGGACTTCACAAGATGAAAGCCAAACTCCTTGGCTCCAGTCAACAACTGACTTGTCACCTGTGGCTAACCTCAACTGCCTCAGCCTATCCCTCAAGAGTTATCTAACCTGTTTCAGCGCCTTGGGACATCCTCCCGACGTGAAAGGCGCTCTATAAATGGAATCTTGTTGTTGTTCTTAACCTAGGCGTCAGGTTTGATCCCCAGGTCTCTATCCTACCAGGACCTCTTTCCTCCACCTGATCGTATCTCACACCTAACACAGCCAAAACCCATATCCATAAGCCACCTCCTGCCTGAATTATTCAAATGCCCTCGACAATTTCCCCAGCTCCACCATTCACAAAATAACAAATTCCAACTCTGCTGCCTGTATTTTCACCTGTACAAATTTACGTTCCATCACCCCAGTCCTAACCAAGGTCCACTGGCTCCCTTTCATACTCACACTGAATTACAAATCATTTCATGCCCCAGCACCACCCCCCACGCTGCTCACATCCCATTCCACTATCTACTCAGCTGGCTCTCCCAGCAGCAGCGGTTCACTCGTCTCCACCAGCAGCAGCTGAGCCTTCAGCCACTGCAACCCATAACTATGGAACTCACTTCAATTCCCCCACTTCCCCATCATATCAGAGGACCTGTATCTTTGACCTCTTCTCAATCTCAAGTGTCACGCTTCACCACTCCAAGACTATTTAGCGTATTATGTGAAGCACTTTCAAGATATCCTCATAACATGAAAGGCACCATACTAAATATCTCAGCAGCAGTTATAATAATAATCCTTGCATTTGATATAGCGCTTTTCACGTCGGGAGGACGTCCCAAAGCGCTTCACAGAACACTGTAAAGTGAATTGACTGTCTATTTGTGGGCGAACGCGGCAGCCGATTGCGCACAGCAATGTCCCACAAACAGTCGTAGATTGAAAATGACCAATTTATTATTGTTTTTGGTTTTGGAAGGATTATTATTAGGCTCTGTGTGGAGTAAGGAAACTTGCCCAAGGTTTCGCCCTCTGCCTGGAATTGAACTCAGGTCTCTCACTTGCAAAGCGAGTGCTCTAACCACTGAGCTACAGGACTCCACAGTTAGAAGTGTATCACAATTAGAAGCCAGTGCCTTTATGCAATACTTATGACTAGTGAACTACATCTCTACACTCACCCAACCAATCCATTTGGGTGCATTCAGCTAGTTACCACGTTAGCCTGCTCAGTTGCGACTGTCATCTGAGGGAGGTTATATAGTTGACACTCCAATGTTGTGCAGCATTGTTAAGAGGTTTCCTTTGAAATAAGACATTAAAAAAATCCCATACTATTCAAAGGGAATATCTGCTGGCTAACATTTTCCAGCTAGGTTTGTGGGACACTGCTGCATGCAAGTTGGCTACTCATGTTTGCCTACAAATTAGTCACACTGGGGTAAATCCTGTGAAGTGGCTCACGGCAGTGATTTGGTAAAGACATGATATCAAATGCAAGGATTCTTATTCAGTTCTTAAGAGCAAAAGAGTCTACACCCAGTCAGCTCATGAAAATGAAGGAAACAGCAAGTTAAATAAAGTTTTTATTAGTTTCATATATTGCCGATGAAGGAATTGAATAAACCAAGCTCCATTTGTAGTTATAGATACAAGAAGAATCCTGGTTGCCAGCTGCCATCAAGATCTTGATTCAACATCTTCCCAATGTACATACAATGAACCTGCAGGAATGCATTTAGAAACTTAAATTAAATCACAGGTCAGGTTTATTTAAAAAAAACTCAGAAACAAGGTCTAATCTCAGCAGTCAGATCCGTATGGTTCATCAGAACATCAGATTTGGATATAAGTCATCATTGACCAGACCAAATACAACATTCAAGCTCATTTTAAAAAATAAAAAAGCACCTTATATTCAAGTCCTCTTGGCCAAAAGGATCAGAACACACATCCAGCTAAAACATCACTCCTTCCACTGAAAGTAAAGCAAGGAAAGCCACCTCACTAAACAGTTTTTGAAAAAAACACGAATAATGAGATTCAAACAAATTAAAAAAGAGTTTAGAATGTTCAAATACTGAACTGCCTACCGTCAAACATCTCTGGGTGAAATTAAGAATTGAGCCAGGACAGAAACCTTAAGGTTAAAATGCACCTAAAAGAAAACACAACTGTTATCAGTAGGTTACATTACAAGAAGTATCAACACTACACAAGTCAAATACTGATTCGTCCATTCTCAGCAGTCAGATCCGTTAGATTTTCATCAGAAATTCAGGTTTTGGATTGTTTTCATCACTGATTAGACCAAGAACCAAATATCATGTATTTAATTAGAGCTTGTGTGTTTTCTTAAAAGTATGAAAACTTCAGTTAATCGCCTCTGCTCACATACAAATAACCACTTGCAAGTTGTTGCGGTTTCAACATACCTGTTAATTAAATGGAACATCTTAAAGAGGTAATTTTCACGTCTGCAAAATCATTTTCAGTTGTACCTGGAAGAATACACAAATACAAAATACACTTCAAAAACAAGCATCAAATACAAGTATTGTGAGTAAGATGCATTAAGTCAGACACTGGTTCGGCAAATCTCAGCAGTCAGATCCGTTTCTTTTTCATCAGAGAATCAGGTTCAGAATTTATTCCGTCACTGATTAGACTAAGAACCAAGTGCGACACACTTAAGCTGTTTCCCTATTAGTTATTACCTACGCTCACATATAGCCATTAGAACTACCGTTTTAAAAAGAACTACTCTTGCAGAATACATATCCACCTTTTCCTTTCAGTGAGTTGCCTCTAATGGACTCATCGCATGCCAACACCCCATCTCCAGGAAACTCCAGGGCTGTACCCTCACTCTTCACACCCATTATCGCTAGGTTCAAAGATCCCAACAGGACCAAGTTTAACATCCTCGTTCTGACCTTCCAAATATCTCAAAGTCCCCCCCTCGCCGACCAATGCAATCCAACTCTGGGCTTCAACACAACACTGCCACTTATTCCCGACTCTTTCACAAACCTTGAGATATTGTGCTCATCTTCTGGAACTATCTTCCAAAAACATTTTGCTCCACCTCCCATTTCCTAGTCTATCCAATTCTAGTAATTTAATTAAAAACAACAATTTAAAACCCAACAGTTCAAATTATATGAACTATACTCCAATTAAATAGCCTTCCAACACAGATCATATTTACCTTCAAGCATTGGCTGATTGAGACGCTGAGGGCACCACTTTCCAGCATGATCGAGTCTGAATACATCTGCAGAACAAATAAAAACAAATGGTCAGGATTATACCTCCTACCACAGATCCTTTAAATCGACAAAATCAAAGTTAAGCAGAGACCAAACCGGGAAAGTGTCAAAACCCTTCGCAACTGGCAGTAAAACCAGCAGAAATGGCTGCAAACGATGTCTGCAGCGAATCCGAGACCAGGGAGGATAAGATGCGGTGGAGAGGCATCAATACCGAATCACAAACTGCACGTCAGCGCTCAGCAAAGTGACCCCCGGGAGCGGTGGGTGAGGCGGACACTCGCCACGTGGCCCCCCGCCCGCAGGCACTGCGCGCTCGCAAACCATCCAAACCCTCGGCAACTGCCGACAGACCGCTCCTCGGCACAGAGGTCAGACAGGCCCGAGCGGGGGGGGAGGCCGAGCGGGGGGGGGGGAGGCTCGAGCGGGGGGGGGGGGGGGGGGGGGGGGGGGGGGGGGGGGGGGGGGGGGGGGGGGGGGGGGGGGGGGGGGGGGGGGGGGGGGGGGGGGGGGGGGGGGGGGGGGGGGGGGGGGGGGGGGGGGGGGGGGGGGGGGGCCCGAGCGGGGGGGGGAGGCCCGAGCGGGAGGGTGGGAGGCCCGAGGGGGGGGGGAGGCCGGGGGGGGGGAGGCCCGAGCGGGTGGGGGGGGTACCAGGAGCGGAGCCCAATCGCACCTCACACCCTGAGAGTCGCTTCCAAAAAGGAGGGCGGGCGGGGCCGCACGCCTTATATAGCAGGGGGTCAGCTCCGCGCAGCACTGTGTGAGTTGACCCCTCCCCCCTCCTCGTGGGGGGGGGGGGGGGGGGGGGGGGTCGCTGTCTTGGCGCCCAATCGCAGGTCAGGAAATAACTGCGGTCACGTGTGCGAGTGCGAGTGCGGCGGCTGTTCAGTCACGTGGCCACACTGGGCGGGGCTCCTCGGTCACGTGGCGGGGCGGGGCGGGGCTTGTGCTGTGCATGATGATGTGTATATATGATCCGGGGGGGGTTTAAAAAAAAGATGTTTTCTTGACACTTACACAGTTTCAAAAGCACTAACGTAAATCGGCCACTCTGTTACCCACAGGAGGCGACCCATAACACTGGGCTACTTGCGGGCTAGTGGCTGAGGTGCCTTGTCTACGAGGTGCCTTCTCTGCTGAAGACCTTTCTTTTCCACCGCGCCTTTGGTCACCTTCCTCCCCCGCCCCCCGCCCCCCGCCCCCCCGCCCCCGGCGCGCTCCCGGGATCCGAAACTGTGAAGCGCTCTGAGACGCCGTCCGGCGTGGAGGGCGCTACGTAAATCCAAGTTGTTGTTGTGGAGGCTCAAGTCCTCGTTGCTCATTGCTATTTGCTGCACTATTTAACGCCCAGTACCACGATTTTCCCTCTGAAACTCGTAATAACGCTCAACGACTGGCACCCCACGCTGACCGGTCTTAATTAAAATAAAAAAAACTTTTTCCACACAGAGTCTTAAAATGCTTGACAGGTGATTATTGTCAACAGTAGCATCTGTATATATAGATAAACACAGCAGTCATTTTGCGCATAACAAGGTCCCACAAACACCCACACAGTGAACGATCACTATATTAGGAAGATTGTTGGCCAAGACGCTGGGAGAAATCAAATGTACACGTTCATTTCTAGCGTCACAGCCATACAACAATGACAACTTGCATGTATATAGCACCTCTTACGCATGGTAGTGTCCCTCACATGGGGTAGCACCCCAGAGCACTTAAACATACAAGTCAGGTCAAAGGTGTCTCAGAAATGTACATTACATTAATGTAGAAAATATTGTAAGTCTAAGTACCTTCTATTTCCTCTCTGAAAATCACATGGATGATGCAACAACCATGCTTGTGGAGTCCTGTAGCTCAGTGGTTAGAGCACTTGCCTTGCAAGCGAGAGACCTGAGTTCAATTCCAGGCAGAGGGCGAAACCTTGGGCAAGTTTCCTTACTCCACACAGAGCTTAATAATAATCCCTCCAAAAACCCAAAACAATAATAAATTGGTCATTTTCAATCTAAGACTGTTTGTGGGACATTGCTGTGCGCAATTGGCTGCCGCATTTCACCCACAAATATACAGTCAATTCACTTTACAGTATATTCTGTGAAGCGCTTTGAGAAGTCGAGAAGATGTGAAAAAAGCGCTATATCAAATGCAAGGATTATTATTATTAAATCGCAGTTACACTATCATTTTGTATGGCCTCCCAGGGACTTCTTGGTAGCTGAAATTCAAAAACATCCAGTCAAGTAACAATTTACCTTGTGTTTCTTGAACTAATTACATAGCTAGTGTAATCCTTGCATTTGATATAGTTTTGTTCACGTTTTCCAGATGTCTCAAAGCACTTCACAGTATGATGCTGTTGTATTCGTTACAATAACTTAATTTCCTATTAATGTCAAAACTTTGTTGACATTGTACGATACAAGTTCAAAATGTGCATATGGTTATAATATAATGTCATAAACAAGTTTTCAAATTAAAAGAGTATTTTTATGACAATATGACACCTTCAAATATTTATAACAGACAATTCAGAGTACTTGATACCGTGCTCCTCATCTTCTATGCCACAGAATTGCCACTAGAGTGTAGCAACACCATGTTTTTCATAGGATGCCAGTTATACAACAATTCAGCAAATAAAGAAAAGCATGTCTTAATTTTCTAAGAAATAATTCCTTCTGATTTGGTGCGAATAAAGTATTCTCCTTTTCTCCCTTAAATGTTTACATTTCTTCCAATGCTACAGATGGGTGCACTCTGATAGCTTGCCCAGTAGTCTGGTCTTTATATAATAATAATAATATTAATAATAATCCTTGCATTTGATATAGCGCCTTATCACATGTTTAAGAAATCTCAAAGTGCTTCGCAGAATATACTGTAAAGTGAATTGACTGTATATTTTGGGGGGGGGGGGGGAATGTGGCAGCTAATTGCACACAGTAGTGTCCCACAAACAGTTGTGGATTGAGTGACTACATTTTTATTTTGAAGGGACATATATATATTTTCTGAAAGGATAAGGTTCAGACACAGTGTGTGTTGGTGGGGATCACAGCTGAGCCCAATTCTGTTATATCATGTGCCCAATGTGCATTTTCCAGCAGAGGTTACTAGACAATGATCAAAAGTGGGAACAAGCAAGCTCAGTACCAAATTCCAGCCACCAACCAACGAATAGCATCTTTTAAAGCAGAATCCCCAAGGTGTACTGAAGAATGGCTTCAAACATCAATTTCAAATGATGTCCTTTCCATTTTTCTCCATGCTAGGTATTATTCTTACCATTGATTCAATTAACTGGGTCTTGATGAGTCCATAAAACATAATTATTGTAACTCAGAGTTTCTAACAATAATACTCTAAAACCCTGGCTAGCTGGACTAATGGGGAAGATCTGGTCCTGCGAGCTAGAATTTCTGGCTATTTCTAAATACAGGGCTAGTATTTTGAAAAAGGCTGGTAAATGCCAATACTGGCACTGTTTGAATCCCGTGAACAAAAGATAGGAAATAAGCTAATTTTTGTTCACTGTATTCAAACAATCTGAGTCAAAGTTGATATTCCTGGCCACTGTAAAGGCCAGCAAAGATGGGGAGGCTGCATAGTGCAACATTGGATGTGCTACAAGATTTCAGCTGGTGGAAGTCTACACGAGTGCGCACTGTGAAAATTTTTTAACAATTTTTTTTTCCAGCTTGGTCCGGCTAGGTCTAAATTGCAGAAGCCCAGAATCCGGTAAGCTAGGGGTTTACTGGAGTAATAATAATCCTTACATTTGCTATAGGCTTTTCACTTACTAAGGAGGTCTCAAAGTGCATCACTGGATATACTGTAAAGCAGGGGTGGGCAAAATACAGCTCGCGGGCCATATCCGGCTCGCCAAATGATTGTATCCGGCCCGTCATTGTGCCTAGCAATAGAACAAATTATAGTTTGTTCAGTCCCAGAAAGTCGCACAAATTTTGCATTTGAATCAGACCGGGAACATCAGCCAATCACACTGCTTAGTTGTGCGCACACTCCCTTAAGTGTTGAATCAGGCTGACGTCAGAAATATACGGATCGGCAAATTTTCAAACATGCGCGCGGCAACCGCGGCAATACTTTTCACTGAAGAGGACGTTAATTCAAAATGTGTTTATCAAAGAAGTGGAAAGTGGACGCTGAAGGCCAAATATTCAACAAAGAATAGACTTCTAAATTTTTTTAACAGTGTGAGTGGAAAATCTGTGTGCTTGATTCGCAAAGAAAGTGGTAGTGCTCAAAGGCTACAACTTGAATCACCATTTTGACAGCAAACGTGCTTGCAAATATAAGAACGTTTCTGCCGAACAAAAAGGAAAGAAAGCTGTTGAGATGGTTGTTCGAATGCAAAACAAACAAAGCATTTTCAAATTCAAAATAATTTGCATCCCGGGATGAGATTACAAGAGTGAGTTACGTGATTGCACACAAAATCACCAAGAGCAGCATTGGTCATCAGTCATCCATTCTCTGAAGAAGAATTTATAAAGGTTGACTCATCCTCGATTTTATGCCCAGACAAGAAAAAACAGTTCGAGAACATTAGCTCAAGGCAAACTATTGTGAGACGTGTCGACGGTATCTCTGAGAACCTGTATCTGCAGCTACAAAATAAAGTAAGCAATTTTGCATGTTTTTCACTGGCACTCGATGACAGTTGTGATGTCAAAGACACAGCCCAGTTGATAATTTTTATTCGAGGTGTCACCAAACATTTTGAGCTCACAGAAGAATTGCCATCAATGTAGTCAATAAAAGATACAACAACTGAAGAAGACTTTTTGGAGGCAGTAAATAAGTGTATCTTAAAATTAGGAGTGGAGTGGAAAAACTTGGTGAATGTGACCACCGATGGAAGCCCAAATCTGACAGGCAAAAATAATAATAATAATAATAATAATCCTTGCATTTGATATAGCGCTTTTCACGTTGAGAGGACGTCCCAAAGCGCTTCACAGAACACACTGTAAAGTGAATTGACTGTATATTTGTGGGCGAACGCGGCAGCCAATTGCGCACAGCAATGTCCCACAAACAGTCGTAGATTGAAAATGACCAATTTATTATTGTTTTTGGTTTTGAAGGGATTATTATTAAAATGTTGGGTTACTGAAAAGAATTCAAGATCAAGTCAAAGAAACAAATCCAGAACAGAATATTG